TACAAATACGGGGTTTCTAGCAATGTCTTTAAGAAAAGCACTTGTCTAAGTTTCCACAGAGGCCTGCCTCTTTGGGTTAAGAACATAACTTCTGCTTACCCTGTATTCATCAAAGCTGAAGATTCCAGTGACAATTCTAGAGAACAGTAAGTGGAGGGAGTAGGGGTGGAAGATAAACATCAAATAGTTTTCTCTCTGCTTGTGGCCAAAACCTTTTCATATACTGGTCAGTTAATCAGGTTTTGGGTGGTTTGTTATAACCCTCATTAGGTAAACAACTAGTTACAAGTCAAATTTGGTCTTCCTCTTTCATACTAAAGGTTCCTTTTAAATAATCTGTTTATTTACTCCTCCCAAATTTCCTAAGGTACCCACAGGGCAAGAAAAAAACTGAGATGTGCTAAACTAAACAAAGTTTATTTAAGTAAGAAATATATAGGTTCTGGAACTGGCAGCATTCCAGACTGAAGATGGTTCAGAGTGCCTCCATCTACAATATGATATTTTTACCAGAAAACAGGAAATGAGGTACAAAGATTACCTGATTTGTACAATTCGGTGTTTCCCTTATTTGGGCATAGTTTGGCAGCTTTAATCCTGGGACTAGCTGAGGGCCAGATGCTTAGGTTACCCAGGTATATCCTTAGATGAGGCTACAATTTGTTTGTAGATCAAGCCAGGCTTCAGGTCACTACTTATGAAGGATACTTTGTGTCACATTTTATCATGCAAGAAGGGAGGCAGGTTTTCTGTTTAATACCTCTCTCCTTCAGGTCATCCTCTCAATCTTGAGGGATTGAACAAAACATGGGCATCATCTGTGACATCATCACAACGAATCCAATTGTTTTCAGTATTCACAACTTTAGAGTTAAATTAGCTGACTCTTCCACGTTTTTATTATTACAATCATAAAGAAACAATTTGATATATAAAAGCTGCATACAGGTACTTAAAACTTTTGACTGAGTACAATACAATACACAGTGCTAAGAAATATAACAAGTCTCCCTGAAACAAACTAATCAAAAACCATTCAAAGTTCCACAGGTATCTGAGTCTTTTCAGTCATAGTCCTTGATGGTGACTGAGCACCATAGCATGAGGCAAAATGGCTTGATTTAAAGAGCTATTCTATTTGGTTAGTTTGCTAACACATGTCATAGTGATCTAGAGACCCACTAAAAGAAACGCAAACATTAAGAAATCTTGGTGGTTGTACTGGTCTTACCCATGATGAAGGAAGATTTCATTTTGTCTGATGTAGCTGTCAAGATGCCATGTGGTGCATCAACTAAAAGGCACAAATCATACTAGTGTTGTCAGGCGGCAGGTCAAGCTACCACCCATGACACTAGCATCCCCTATGAGTAACGGTTCTAGTGTGGGCTAATCTGCTTCCCATTCAGCTCCCTGCTAATGCACCTGAGAAAGCAGCAGAAGATGGCCAGAGGACTTGGAATCCTGCTACCCATGTGGGAGACCCAGGCACAGTTCCAAGATCGTGGCTTCAGCCTTCTCCAGCTCTGGTAGTAATTTGGAGAGACAGAAGATCTCTCTCTGTCCACTGCTCACTTTGTTTATATAACTCAATCTTTCAAAGAGTATTGGTTTTTAAGGTACAAAAAGAAAAGTACAGGAGTTACTTGATTCCCCAAGCCATTTCAGATCCATTAAGGCCTTTACATCTCTTTTGATGTCTTCCACTTGACCAATTCCTGGCCCTTCAGTTGCTGATCTATGTGGAAATTGCAGGAATACAACCAGAGGGTCAAAGTTGTGAGAGTGGTTATACTTTATTATCTCCTGAAGGCTTCATGGCTGCCTGGATTTTCCGACATTTGGTTCATGCAGAAAATACTTTTTTGATATATTTTCTACATGAGCTCTATAACTTGAAACTCATTCATTCTTCTTTTTCCTGCAAGATTATATTTTTAAGAATTTTATTTTTGTTGTGGAAATTCTCCTGTGATGGCTGTAAGCTTTACCTTACCAGGGGTGGGGAACATCCAGCCTGTGGTCTGTATAAGGCCTACACAATCATTTGGTTTGGCCCTACCAAGGCAACCACAGATGGTACTTGAAATTCAATAAATCTATAGCAGGCTAATTTTTTTTAAAAGATTTATTTATTTATTTGAAAGTCATAGTTACACAGAGAGAGGAGAGGCAGTGGGGGGGGGGGAGAGGTGTCTTCCATCCAACGGTTCACTCCCCAGTTGGCTGCAACAGCCGGATCTGTGCTGATCCGAAGCCAGGAGCTAGGGACTTCTTCCAGGTCTCCCATGAGGGTGCACGGGCCCAAGGACTTGAGCCATCTTCTACTGCTTTCCTAGGCCATAGCTGAGAGCTGGATTGGAAGTGGAGCAGCTGGGATTCGAACCAGTGCCCACATGGGATGCTGGCACTTCAGACCAGAGTGTTAACTCACCGCGCCACAGCGCTGGTCCCCAGGCTAATTTTTAAGTTGATAATTTTGTATGGCCCATGAATGGTATTATAAATATCCAAATAGCTCTAGGCAGAGAATTGGTTCCATACCTCTGCCTCAAAATGGAGTAAAAGTAGTATGGCAAGCAGTCTTGGTTGATCATAAAGTCTCATCTGACAAGGCATGTATCTGTCTTTGTCTTTTGATTATTTTCAAGGGAAAAGGGAATTGGGCAAAACAGTGGAATCAAAAGTATTTAGGTAAAGATGAATGGAAAGAAGGAATGGTTGGGGTTAGTTCAGAAAGCAGCCAATTTCCATCTCATCTTTAGTCTGTTGCTTAAGCTTTTCATCTGTGTTTTCCAAAAAATCTTTTAAGGAGCAATTTCATGTCTCTTAGATGCCTTCATGTATCAATTAAATGTATTATATTGTTTTTATGGGATGTGTTTCTAATATGCTTCACAAATTCTATTCAAATTAAAACTTTCTTATGTGACCACCATTTTGTAAGCTGTTTCTAGTCAGACTAACCTGTTTTCCCCCAAAAAATATATACTATACAATAATAAACATATAATTATATATTATATGTAATATGATCATATACTATAATTATTATATATAATATATGTAACACCTTACGTGAAATACAAATATTTAATATTTATATAAATATATATATTTAAAAATATATATTCTGGGTCCATACTCTTGATGCATGAATCTAGCTTAAGCCCCAGGTGAGAGTCCTAGACTCCTTGGACTGTGAAAAGCCCATAATCAAGAATCAAAAATAATTAAAAATCAGAAAGAGTTACCCAAGGTCCTTCACTCATATTAATGGATTTCAAAACATTTTTGCACCAAAATAAACATCTTTTTTTTTTTTTTGACAGAGTGGACAGTGAGAGAGAGAGACAGAGAGAAAGGTCTTCCTTTGCTGTTGTTTCACCCAGCACCGCAATCAGCACCACACTGACCCGAAGGCAGGAGCCAGGTGCTTCTCCTGGTGCAGGGCCCAAGCACTTGGGCCATCCTCCACTGCACTCCCGGGCCATAGCAGAGAGCTGGCCTGGAAGAGGGGCAACCTGGACAGAATCCGGCGCCCCGTCCAGGACTAGAACCTGGTGTGCCGGCGCCGCAAGGCGGAGGATTAGCCTATTGAGCCGCGGCACTGGCCCAAAATAAACATCTTTTAATTACACTTTCCATAAACTTTTTGACTCCCTTTGTAAGCGTCAATCCAGTTAATTATCAAACCCAATTTTATTGCGAATCAGTTCAGATTCTAAACCAGTGAGACAAGTAAGGCCTCTTAACTGAATCCAATTCAGAAATGTAGTGGTAAAAATTACTCAGCTACATCGGGGGTTCCGAACACAACGTACATACAAGTTGGGACCCAGAGAGATCACTAGGCTTGGGCCACAAGCGATCACTAGGCTCAAAGGGCCATGGCAAGTTCCTTGCGTGGTGGCTTGATGCTCATGGGGGCCACCGGAAGTTCTACTTTGGATCCATCAACTATACCAATCTGTTTAGCAAAAAGATGTTTACTAAATGAAGAAATAGCAGCAGCAGCACTTTGGGCCACAGATGGTTCAGAAGGCCTCCAACCTAAACATGGTGAACTGTTTCTATAACCAGAAAAGCTTGAAATCACATAAAGATGACCACATTCGTGTCTCAGTGTTTGCCTTATTTGGGTATTAACTTGACAGCCTTCAGCCTTGGTTTGCTGAGGTTCAGATGCTTGGTTACTAGGATATATTCTTAGGTTACAACTTTCTTGCACATCAAACCAGGTGCAGAAACCACTTTGCACCAAATTATCTCACTCAATTTGTTGTGGACAGTTTGAGCCGAATTTGTGTGACACAACCAACCAAAGATAACACAAGGTAGAAAAGATGACACAAATGATTTCTGAGCTCTGCCTGGCAGAGTCGCAACGAGCCCCATCCGGGGGTTAGCCGCAGTCCTCAGGCTGCAGGGACATTCCAGTCACAGGGAGGTACCGAGGCTTCCGGCCTCCGAGAGCCGGCTGTAGCCCGGGTTCCTCACCCACGTGGCCGTCGCACACACCAGACCGCGCACACTCGTTCAAAGTCCAAGGGCCGCGGTCATGGGCAGTGGCCTTGGACAAAGCGACCGCCCATGCAATTGTGAGGGTCGTGAACGTGGCGGCGGGCTGCAGCCTCCGCAGGGACCTTCTCTGGAACCCCCATTCCCAGCTCTGTAACTCGCCCCAACCACCGTGGCAGCAAACGGGCAAGCAACCGGAAGCCCAAGATGGCGACGCCCCGCCCTTCTCTCGCGAGAGGGGGAAAAGGGAGGAAGTTCGGCGACTGACGGGAAGGCAGCCAATGAGAGAGCGGAAGGCGCTTGATTGGCGGCCCTCTCGGAGTCTCTGGAGGCCACGCCCCGTCTGCCCAGGCGAGGTCCCCGCCCTCCGCACCCTCTCCCCGTCCCTTGCCCGCTCTTCTCTTCCCGTTTGAGGTGGTGGCTGGGCTTGCCTCCTCGTCAGCTCCATTTTTTTTCTAGCCTCCCGCCTTCCCTTTTCCCTTAACCTGAGAGCGTTCTGAGCTCCTCTCCGCCTCCTTAGAGTGGCCGCAAGGTCTTTTAGCTTTTCTCCTTTCTCGAGTCGTCCGCCTCGCCCTACCCCGCCATGAATGAGGAGTACGACGTGATCGTGCTGGGCACCGGCCTGACGGTGAGCTGCTGGCCGGGAGGAAATGCTCAGAGGCCCCGGGGGGAGGCGCGGCCCGCCAGTGTACGAATCCGGGGGTGAGGGCGGCCCTTTAGGCACTTGGTTCAGTTCCCCTGCCCGGTTGCGCCGTCCACCCTGTCCGGTGTACAGAGGGTGGGCGCACTCCTTGCGCCAGCGCTCAGCAGGGCCCCGCGTCCTAGGCCCGCTAGATTGCAGGCTGCGTTTACTCGGAGACTGTTTCGTCTTCTGCCTTGGTTTTCGGGGAGGGGTTCGTGGTTGGTGGAGCTGGAGGGGTTTCAAGGAGCACGGTGGGTGGAGCGGGCCCTGGACAAGTGTGCATGGAGAGAACAGGAAATGGAAACCTAGGACAGACGTCTGTGAAGGCAGTCAAATGGGTAGTCCTGGCCGGAGAGAAGGACGTCGGAAATGGGGGACTCTGAAAAATGTGAAGGGAAAAAGCCTGCCTTTAGGTGAAGCCAAGACCTCCCCTCTTAGAGGTCGGTGACCTCTGGTGATTGGAAGCTGAGAAGCACTGGGCGGAGGGGGAGGGAAAGGCGGCTTGCAGTTGCATTTCCTGTTTAGCCTTTAGCCTCTGCTACTAGTCAATCTGGCTGTCAGAGTGAGGCCGGAGGAGTGCCACATCATTAGGTAATCAGTACTTTGTAGTTGCTAGAGTTCACTAGACTTAAACTTTTGGAGAAAGTGAAGGAGTGATTTAATTTTTAATCTCTCATTCCGAGTAGGAGACATCATTGATTGTTTTAAGTCACCCTCTCATCCTGCTTACTAAGCATCTGGTAACTGGAAATGAATTTTTTCAAAACTTGTGTATCAAGTGCTTTTACACATCACTTTACTTTTTTTCCCGGGATGTTCTCTGCTTCCATTGTCTCTTCTACATGCCATCCCCTTAACTTGTGATGGATTGCCAGAGGCCACATTCTCTGTACCTCTGAACTCTCTTCAAGGGTTATCATAAATCAGTAACCACATGAAGAATACATTCATAATATATGAATGCAAAGAGTGACTAATACCATTGGATGTTTCTTTTTCTGGATCTCTGCTTAGAGGCTATTAGATAAGAGTCTGCAAGTATTGTAGGCAGGTTTACTCTCATACTTTTTCTAATCTTGCTTTTATGATGACGAGTCATCTTACAAAAAATTAAATTTGAGGAAGGAAGGAACTATTTTGATTATCAGTTTTATTAGAAAATTTGAAATTCTTTCTGGACTACTTCCTCATAAAAAGATGAACACCAGAAGAAATATCATGTGTCCCATACATTCTGACCTCAGTACATGAATGATTTCATATAAACTACCACTTAAAATTTGTTGAAATGCATTTTGATTTTTTTGGATCAAATCAGTTTTTTTAAGGTAATACTCCAAAATAGCTATATTGGGTTTCTGTAGATAAGAAAACCAAACTTTTGTTTGACTAATTTTTTTAGGAATACACAAGTTTTTAGGAAAAGTCTGTTAAGAATTAGAATAGTATCTTTATGGTTTGTCATTTTCAGTTTATAGTGATTTATGATAACTGGAGAATACTCATTTCTGAATAACTTTATTATGTCTGAACAGTCCGGAAATAGACATGTGACTGTGTATGAAATAGTACCAAATAGAAAGCCATTTAATCATTTTCAAGTGCGTGTGATACAGTTGAATTTCTTTTTCAATAGTAAGTTGTAGGATGCCTGAATATATATGTCTATCCACAGCGGTTTTTTTTGTTTGTTTTTTGGTTTTTTTTTGTTTGTTTGTTTGTTTTTTTAACTACCTAATTGGGATTCTGAGCTGAGCTTAGTTTGTCATTTTTTTTGCCCAGTGGAATGGTGCTGTTGCTGCCAGCATGTTGTAAGAGCCAGTTAGTTCCACTGGTTTTCTATGGTTGCTGCTGGTCTTTCAGATTTGTCCACGATTAAGGTCAGTTGAGCATGAACAAGTGAGTGCAAATCCATCGTGATGCAGGTTTCCACATGCCTAGTTCAGAATCATTTTGTATCAAAGATTGTGTGGTGTTTTTACCTTAATGTATTTTGTTGCTAGCCTTTAGTTTCTCTTAAAAAATATATATTTAGTTTTAACTGACAAATTACTGTATATTATGATGGGTACAGGGTAACATTTCAGTACCTATATACAATGTATAATGATTGGTACAGGATAGTTGGCCATCTGCTACCCCAGACATTTATTATTTATGTTGGTAATGTTCAACGTCCTCTCGCCTAATGATTTTGAAATTTATAATTGCTGGGGCCAGCACTGTCGTGGAGCAGGTAAAGCCACTGCCGGCATCCCATATGGGCACTGGTTAAAGTCCCGGCTGTTCCACTTCTGATCCAGCTCTCTGCTGTGGCCTGGGAAAGCAGTAGAAGATGGCCCAGGTCCTTGGGCCCCTACACCCTGGCTCCTGGGGCCAGCCTGCGATCCTGACATCTCATGTGGGCCCCAGTTCAAGTCCTAGCTGTTTCACTTCCAATCCAGCTCCCTGCTGATGTGCAGAAGGTGATCCAAGTGCTTGGACTCCTGGCTTTGGCCTGGCCCAGGCTCAGCTGTTGTGGCCATTTGCAGAGTGAACCAGCAGATGAAATGTGGTAGAATGAGAAGGCCATGCCAAGATGGCCACTGGCAAGCAAGAGTCAGTTACTCAGGAATGGCTTTGAAACCCACCTGGCAACCGAGCCTGCCTGGCAACAGGCTGTGATTGATTAGGGCATAAACTGCCCCTTGACCAGATTGGCTGCCTTGGCTATTTAAGCTGATGTAGCAACTGAAATAAACGAGTCTGCAGGCTGCTCGCCTCTAGCCTGCTTTCACCCGACTCCCAGGGTCTGTGTGGTGACTCTATGCCTCTTGCCCTCACCACGTTCCTCATCTCAGAATGAATCCACAGCAACAGTGGAATAGCTCTAAAGATTTATTTAGTTATTGATAGAACAGAGTTACTGAGACAGGGGGAGAGAAGAAAACAGACATCTGCTGGTTTACTTCCCAAATGGCCACAATGGCTGGGGCTCAGTCAGGCCAGAGCTAAGAGCCTTGTACTCCATGTGAGTTTCCCATGTAGGTGCAAGGCCTCAAGCATTTGGGCCGTCTTCCACTGGTTTCCCAGGTGTATTAGCTGGGGGCTGAGTCAGAAGTTCAACAACCGGGACTCTAACCAGTGTCCAAATAGGATGCTGGCATTGTAGGCAGCAGTTTAACCTGCAACATCACAACGCAGGCCCATCATTTTTTTTCTTTTCTTTATTTCTTTTTTTTGACAGAGTTAGACAGAGAGAGACAGAGAGAAAGATCTTCCTTTTTCCATTGGTTCATCCCCCAAAATGGCCGCTACAGCCAGCGTGCTGTGCCAATCTGAAGCCAGGAGCTTCCTCCTGGTCTCCTACGAGGGTGCAGGGCCCAAGCACTTGGGCCATCCTCCACTGCCTTCCTGGGCCACAACAGACAGCTGGACTGGAAGGGGAGCAACCGGGACAGAACCGGCGCTCCAACTGGGACTAGAACCAGGGGTGCCGGTGCCACAGGTGGAGGATTAGCCTAGTGAGCCGCCGTGCCGGCCAGGCCCAATGATTTCTGTATTTTTCTTTGAAAATTGTCTGTTCAGGTCACTTGCCCATTTTTAAAGCAGTTAATTTTTCTTTTAATATTATTTGAAAGGCAGAGTTACAGAGAGAGGGGAGTAGACAGAAAGAGGTCTTCCATCCATTGGTTCACTCCCCAAATGGTCACAACAGCAGTGCTGGCCAAGCTAAAGCCAGGAGCCAGGAAATCCATGTGGGTCTCTTATGTGGTGACAGAGGACCAAGCACTAGGGTCATCTGCTGCTGCTTTCTCAGGCACATTAGCAGGGAACTGGATCGGAAGTGGAGCACCCAGGACACCAGTAGGTGCTCAAATGGGATACCAGCATTGTAGGTAGTAGATTATCTCTCTGCACCACAGCCTTAGTCCCTCCTCTCCTTTTTTTTCTGCTGCTGAGTTATTTATGTATTGTAGATATTAATATTTTATCAGCTGAGTAGTTTGTAAATATTCCCTCCCACTGTGTAGGTTGTCTCTTCAGTCTGTTGGTTATTTCCTTTGCTGGATGCATTTTGTTTAAATTTTCATTTGGATTGTATACTTTTTAAAGAGTGGTTGATACCTACTTCACTAGATTTGGGGACTAATTTCTGCTGTCATTTGGTAGCTATGATAATTTTAAACCCTGTTAATCGTGTCAGGTCTTTTGGTGAGTTATTTGAGAATTATATGAATTCAGGATAATCACATTGCTGTCACTGATTAGAGTAGTGATGACAGGGTGTTTTGATAATGAAAAATCTTATAGTCTCATTTTTAGTGATACCAGGTCTTTTAGATGGATGAAAGTTAAATGAAGGGACCACGAAAGTTAAAAGTCCTCAAATTAGAAATAACTGAGTATTTAGAGTAGACATACTATTTAATTTTCTTAACTTTTGGTTTATAAACGTGTAGTGCTTGAGATTTAAGAACTTGAAAAAAGGTATATGCTATCAAATGTGGGTACTGAATACTAATGGTACCTAGCGTGTCCAGTACTTTTAGGATCAGGAACTTCTTATATTTTTTTAAGATTTATTTATTTGAAAGAGTTACACAGAGAGGAAAGACAGAGATCTTCATTTGCTGGTTCACCCCCAAAATGGAGGCAATAGCTAGGGCTGGGCTAGGCCAAAGCCAGGAGCTTCCTCCAGGTCTCTGTTGCTCTGTCAGTCACTCTACTTTTTAAATAAATTAATCTTTTGAAAAAGAAGATGAGACAATTCTGTATAAACTAGAGAAACATATTCCCTGACTAGAAAACATACATATCATTGAATTTTCTTTTTTTTAAAAGATTTGTTTATTTATTTGAAATTTAGAGTTACACAGAGAGAGAAGGAGAGGCAGAGAAAGAGAGAGAGAGAGAGAGAGAGAGAGAGGTTTCCCTCGTCTGCTGGCTCACTCCCCAGTTGGAGCTGTGCCAATTTGAAGCCAGGAGCTTCCTCTAGGTCTCCCATGTGGGTGCAAGAGCTCAAGGACATGGGCCATCTGCTTTCCCAGGCCATAGCAGAGAGCTGGATCGAAAGTGGAGCAGCCGAGACTTGAGCTGGCTCCCATATGGGATGCCAGCACTGCAGGTGGCAGCTTTACCACAGGGCTGGCCCCATATCATTGAATTTTCTAAGGAATTGAGAGCTGCCCCTTTAAAGAACTACAGCTTTCGTGTGAAAGCCTTTCTGAATAACACAATTGTTTAGCAAAGTGAGGAACAAAATTAGTTTATTTATTTATTTGACAGGCAGAATTACAGTGAGAGAGACAGAGAGAAAGGTCTTCCATCAGATGGTTCACTCCCGAGATGTCCTCAATGGCCGGAGCTACACCAATCCAAAGTCAGGAGCCAGGTGTCTCTTCCCGGTCTCCCATGCAGGTGCAGGGGCCCAAGCACTTGGGCCATCCTCCACTGCTTTCCCGGGCCACAGCAGAGAGCTGGACTGGAAGAGGAGCAACCCAACTAGAACCTGGCGCCCATATGGGATGCCGGTGCCTCAGGCGGAGGATTAACCTAGTGTGCCATGGTGCCGGCCCCAATTTTTTTTTTTTAATATTTTTATTTATTTGTTCAGGAGTAAGAGAGAGACAGAGACCAAGAGATCCTAACCTCATTCACCCACCAAATGCCCTCGGTGGCCAGTTCTAGGCTATGCTGTGAGCCTGGAACTCAAATCAGGTCTCCTGTATGGTGACAAGAACCCAGTGACTTGGCCATCACAGCTACCTCCCAGGGTTTGCATTAACAGGAAGCTGAGATTCAAAGCTAAAGCTGGGTATTTAACCCAGGTATCCTGATATGGGATGCAGGCATCTTAGCTGATGTCTTAGCTACTAGACTAAGTGCTCATCTTTGTTCTCCTTGTAGGCTTAGGTTGGTCTCCTTTTTAAAGTTCTTGATTTTATTCTATTATTTTTCACCATCTCTGTGACTTCACTGTTAGGCTGGCAACCTCTACTTTGCTCTGCTTTCCAAAGGGTAGGCAGCCTCTCACCGTATAATTTGCACATAACTTACTATAGGCTTGAAATATACTCATGAATCTTCTTGGAAACAGTGTATTTAAAAAAAGAGTTACTGCATACCCATTTGTGCTTCCCAGAAGTTTTTTGTTTTGTTTTGTTTTTTTAAGATTTATTTATTTGAAAGAGAGTTACAGAGATAGAGGGAGAGATAGAGAGATCTTTTATCTGCTGGTTCACTCCCCACATGGCTACAATGGCCAGTGCTGGGCTAGCCGAAGAAACCCATCTCCCCACCAGGTTGTTTTCTGTGTTTCATTTTTGTTCCATTTAGTAATTAGTAGTGAGTAAATAGTAAAGAATTATGAATGGGAACATATGCTTTGATGATATTTATTAACAAGATGACTCAGCAGTGTATTTTTTTTTAAAAGAGTTATTTATTTATTGGAAAGGCAGAGTTACAGAGAGAGTGTGTAAGAGAGAGACAGAGAGGTCTTCCATTCACTGGTTCACTCCCCATATGGCTGCAACAGCTGGAGCTGGGCCAATCTGAAGCCGGGAGCCAGGAGCTTCTTCCAGGTCTCCCATGGAGGTGCAGGGGCCCAAGGACTTGGACCATTTTCCACTGCTTTCCCAGACACGTTAGCAGGGAGCTGGACTAGAAGTGGAGGAGCAGGCATTTGAACAGGCACCCATATGGGATGCTAGTGCCTTATTTGGTAGCTTTACCCACTACACCACAGTGTATTTTTATATTTTTATGTTAATTTATTTGAAAGTCAGGATTATACATATACACACACAGAGGTATCGTCCGTGCAGTGGTTCACTCCCTATGTGGTCTCAGTGGCCTGGGCTGGGCCAGACCAGGGCCAGGAGCCAGGAGCCAGGAG